AGAAAACCCACTGGTGACTCCCAAGAAAAAACCTGAACAAGAAGCTTTAGGTAGGAGGGATAAGCCCATGGTCCCTACAGGCTGGAACAGCAGGAAGTGATGGCAAAAGCTTACTAGAAATTGCTCAGGTAATTTGTAACAATGTTATTTTCCCTGATACAACACAGCCAATATATTCTAATCAAAGCATGGCTCCAGCATATACATTCTGGGGCAAAGCAAAATACTGTTATGAAACTATGTGTGTTATGGGAAGAAAAATAGCTTCTAAGCCATTAGAAGTAGCCTTTGAAAAATGCTGAGATTTCCAGTTTCAAGCATGAATTAAAAATTTTCATTTGTCATGTGATGGTTCCTTGAGTTACCAGGCATCAGCAAAGCTCAACAAGTAGAAAATAAGGCATGTTAGTCAGCCACATCTTTAAGGTAAAGTGCATTATTTCAAATATTTCCAATCTTTCTAAATCCTTTTCAAAACTCAGGCCTTGCCCTCTCATGTAAGCTTACCTTTATTGCTGTGATTTTGCTTTAACCATTTTTTCACACAAACATGCAAACTCATGTTCTTAATCTTCTAAAAAGTGTATGTAAAAAAATATTTCAAATTCATGTGCCAGCCTTTCCACTTCAGCTACATCAGAGCCAGGTGCTGAAAGCTGGGATTAGTGGGCATTTTCAGCCTCTTATGCTGAGTACAGCAGAGCCAAAAATAACATTCTCAGCAGATTTTTCAGATTTCTCATTTATCCAAACTGGATTATTTATGTCTGCTGTAACTTCTTGTATCTGAAAGACAGCATGTCTGGACTAGCAGTAACTTTTTTTTGTTGTTACTGCAATAATTATGTCCCAGAGAGCTTGCAGTTTAAAAGAAAACCTCTATTTCCTTTTTGCTTTCCTTCTCTCAGGCAGTCCTTTCTTGTGGACATTTATTTAGAGATCTTAGGATAAATGCACTTTTTTGATAGGCATAGTATTTGTGAAATGGCTCTTAACAAGTATAAATTTGTATATGCTGGCTCAATACAATGGCCAGTATTGTTTTCTCCTGTAATTCCTTATATAAGGCAATTAACCAATTGTTCCCAATATCCAATAGTAGTACATACCCATATTTTCCTTGGGTGCAAGATACAGAATAAAACAATCATACTTTACTTACTTCATTCCAGAATGTAAGTATATGATCTTTCAAATTGATTTTCTTCAGTGCATGTCTTACTCACACTTTTGAGGAGGTTTGTGCCTTTTTTTTTTGTTATGACCATTCTACACTCCATGTCACTGTAAATAGTCTGCTTCTAGATCAGCAAAATTCTTTCTAGACAATAACACATCAATCCATGTCTGTATAGAACTAATACAGATTATATGGAGCAGACAATGGAGTAACTTGTTTTAATGGATAGTTGTTAAAAGAAAACACATGTAATACATGACTTTCACCTCTTGATTGAATATACGTCAGTAATTCATTTAGTGCATGGCTGGCTCTGGTTTTTTGCTGCTAATAATGCTTATGGATCATGTACCTCAGGCTTTCCTTAAAAATCTGAACTATGGGAAGTTTAGCAGATGGTGAGTGCTTGCAGGGGGACAGAGATCAAATATTTGTGTTTTTCTTTCAGAAGTTAGGTGGACAGAATCTCAGTTTATGCAAATGAGGTAGATCCACAGAGGTGAAAGCAACGCTTACCTTACCTGTGAATCTTGACTTATGTTACTGAAACTTTATGGCTTCAAAGTCCCCAGAAATGCTAATTAACTTCACTGGGAATGCTGAAGGAACTCCACACAAAATGAGGTATGTCATTATTCTAAAGCATTTCTAATGCATATTTATGTCTCATTCTTCTGTCATTGTTGCCTCTTTCATTCTTTCATCTTCAAAAAACCCCCTCAGTTTTCTCTAGGGCCACAAGCTAGACCATATATGACTGGCCTCAGAAAGAAGTGCTGGTGACAGACAAGAACTAAAATATCTGCATAAATAGGAATATATATATTTCAAAACAATGTCTCCTGAGGAAATCATCTGTGCAGGATTTTCAGACCCAGGTCTCAGATGTGAAGAGCTATGCAAGTTTCTCATAGACAAACTGTCGTTAAAACAATTTGAATTTGGCTTGCCAAATATTTACCAGGAGTTATCACATTCAGCTGAGTATCTGACTCAACCTTCTGTAGTATAGCATATGTGTGTGTGTGTGCACCTTAATTTGACTGCTGTGACAAATGACAGAATATCTCCTAAAGTCAGGCAGGAGGTATCATGTTCCAGGGCATTACACCTGCCTAGGATTATCAACAGATCAGTTTTGGAAATGAGAGTGAAAAACAAAAGAAAACACAGCAGATTACATAGAAAGAAACGAAAAATTACTAAATTCATCGTAATGTTTTTTCTCTTTCTTTAGAAAGTAGAGAATTTTAGAAGTAGTTAATGATAGATAGTAGACAGTAGAAAATATGAGAAGAAGGTAATGTTTTAGCATAATGAAAACATAAAGATTGTGTGCAAAATAAATGGAACTATAATTTTCACTGTACTCTTACAGACTAGGGAATTTAACATTCTGCAGCAGCCACAAACATATGCATGCAGATACCAATAGATAGTGTAAAGGTCACTAAAACATTCATGTGTACATGCACTATACAAAACTAAAGTTGTCCTTTACGTAAAATCTCAATTTGTTATAGTATCATTGGGTTTAATGACTGATTTTGGCTGGCAGTAGATGGGATTGGGTTGCATTAGCATATTAGTAATGTACTAAATTTTATATAAGATAAAATAATATTTTTATCTCCAAGTTTTAAAGCAGTGAATAAAACTTTAACTTCTGTGATTAACAATACTACCATGAACTCCCAACAAAATCACAGTTCTATAAAAATATCTTAAAAAAAAAACTCCTATTCCTTGAATGGCTTGTTTATCTCACATTAATATGGTGATTTACTGAACTATAAATGTATATTTCATTAATTTAATAATACACATGGAAATATACTAAACAAGAGCAGAATAACTTTGCAAAATATTATTTAAATTATTTCTGCATAACAATTAATGTACTTTTATATAAACAATTTGATTTCTCATTATTATTAAGTAATAATTTATACACAGACACAGAGGTACAGCGTGTCTCTCATAACTAGGTGTTGTATATATGATAATATAGACTATCATTAAAAATCAATCAGCCAAATCCATATTAAGATGTTAACTGGATGGATGAGAGCTGTGAGAAAGCATTTAGAAAGCTGATTCTGTGTCTATTTGTTGAATCAATCTATTATGTGCAATTTACCTCAGTCTCTAATAGTCTTTTGAATGTACTGCTGTTCTCATAAAATTATCTCAAGCCAGAAATCTGTTCCCCAAATCATCAGACAACCTTGATAACTAAAGCCCATTGTCCAGTGAGACTTGGAAAAACTTAGGTATGGAAGTGTCCAGTTCCCTTGAAACAGAATTGATAAACTAGTTCCTAAATTACCAGCAAGCTGCTTGAAAAACCTCTCCTATCTGACCCATCTAATTTTCAGTGCATTATTTCAGTTGCCCTCAATCTTGGGCAAATGCAAATACATGGAGATGTGTATCATAGGACAGCTCAGCAGGGCTGTATTCATGTCACTGACGTATACACAAGAGCATGGGAAATTATGGAGAGAATAAATTTTCTAGAACTACCCCAAAAAGAGAGGTCAAAATCCTAATAACCTGTTTATCTGATCTGGCAGCTGCAAATCTAGAAGAGAAAAGATTTTGGAAAGAAGAGCAAAACCCTTGACTGAGACAGAAGAGTAAATGTACATGAGTAAAATTATTTTGCATCTGCCAGACTTGTTCTCTGACACAGCTATGTGACCTTCATAGACAAAACAGCAAACTCTGTTATTTACACGAGTAAGTTGTCACTTTTCATATGATCTTCTCTTTAGTACTTATTAAGTATTAGGCTTAAAAGTAGTGGAAGTAAATCCAATTGGAGGTTGGATTAAAGTATTGGATATACCTTATAAAAAAATCCAGAACCTTCAAAAAATGACTGATCTAAACCTTTAAGATTTTATTACTTTCTGGCTGATAATCTCCTTCTAAAATAGTGAGAATTACAAATGGACTACTATTAAATGCAGATGCTGTTATAATCCATTTTTTACTTGATCTGGATGGTGCTTATATTCAGTTGTGAAAATCCTCATAAAGTATTTTACACCAACTAATCCAAGAGGCTTTCATTTGTAAAATACCATCATATGAAAAAAACCAAGACTTATCAATAGTTTGTACTTTTGAGTGTATTGATATTTCCAGAGGACTAACTATTTTTTTAAAATAAAACATTTTAATTGTGGCTTGTACTGATCCTGAAAAGTTTTTGAACCTGAAATTGTACACATATTTTTCTTCTGCCACAATCTGAAGCACTAAGAAAGTTAAATTCAGAAGAGTCTTATAAACTGTCATCTTCATTACCTTCCCTTTCTGTCTACTGGGAGTGGGGACGAGCATTCTAAATTTTTTGGTGAAAATGACATCTTGTTCCATTCCGATGTTATTTTTGTTACATACTACATATCAAACTTGGACTGTCTTTGGATATCCAGGCTAGTTCTGCTAATTGAAACTCCATTACAAATAGGAAACTATGCTCTTTCAACCAGAATTAGCAAGCAGCTCCCTTATCCTTTTCCCCATCTTATGAGGCTTATTTCTCCAACTCCGTTCTTTTTTTTCTTGAATGATCAATTAAAAAAGTAAGTGCTCTGCTTAGAAAGGAATGGACTACAGTGTTCCAAATATTCAGGTATTTACCTGTCACTGTCTTCGTTGCTACCAGAACATTACAGACATATGGGTTAAAAACTCCCAAAACTCCATAGAGCCAATCTAGCAGCCTACTGCTTTAGCCAGTCTTTCTGCCACATTTTAATTCACTGATCTCATATGATTTAAAATTTGAAAGGCCCATACAACTTACTGTTTTGTGCCAGAGCTTGAAGCAGACAGTCCAAGCATCCCTCCAAGCTATCTGCTGTGCTGTCAGTGGATGTTATCTTCAGCTTTTTCAGGGCTTCACTTAAATTATCTGCTTGATAAACACAAAGGAAAAAGAAATCAGTGTCCTCATCAATTTGTTAACAGCACTATAGTCTTGAATATAAATAGTTAGTGTAAACAGTTCCTGTATCAATGAAGAAGACATGCACGGTCTGTATTCTGAGGATACAAAAAGCCAGGAGGCAAAGGTTATAGATGAAATGAAACTTTTCAGATTTATATATGCATTTATCACTTTGCATCTGAGAACAGGATGTCACAGCAGGTGACATGACTTTATGAAATACACTGAACAGCAATTTATCTATCAGTATTTTCTCAGCCTCGCTGGTACAGAAAACCAGCAGCTGTTTCTTTGCTTCTCCTCTTGTGTGTGGGAATGAAATAGAACAGAAATAAGCATATCTTGATATTCTTCCTCAGTAGAGGCAAAGTAATTGAAAATGCCAATTTCTGCATGCTGTGTAGGCTTCCATCTTGACTATTCACAGATGCCTAGTGCTAAGCTTAGAGCCGTTTAAGAATTATGCCACTTTCCACCACAATGTTACAAGCATCATTGTTTATAGGAATTGTGTTATCTCTTTAAACTCAACTGATCCATAAAAACAGATGGTATCTTCTCGAAATAAGAAAGTTCTATTGTGGATTTCAGATAATTAACTCTTCCCTCTTTAAAAAAACCCACCACCTCCCAAATGCAAATGAGACTACATCATTCTCAAAAGACACCTATTTGCCCAGTAAAGATTGGGTTGTATGACTGTTACTATTTTGAGGGTTCTATCCTTTCATGAGCAAGGTTTAAGGCTGCAGCTGCAGCCTGAGCCTCTGGTAAGCCTACTGATGACTAAACTCACTCTGAATGGACTATTCTTGTCAAAATGAGTGCTGATTGCTGATTCAGTTTCCATGCCAACTCTGACAGCAAGCAGAAAGTGTTACTCAAAACAAATAATGTTGAATAGTGTCTCACTGTCTCTTCGTCCCAGCGGCTGATCAAGAGCCTTGACCCAAGCCCAACCCAGCCACAGGTGCAGTTTCTTTTCAGAGCATCACTGGTATTTTCTGAGCCTGACTAGCAGCCAGTGCTGCTTAGAGCTTCCCACCAGTGTAGGAAGCCTCCTTGACAGGTGAGCTGGCACCTGCTGTGCTCTGCCTCCTCTTCACTTGCCTATGTATGGGATGGTGCAAAGGAAAAGAGTGAAGACACAGCAGGCATCCCATGAAAAGGGTGGAATCTCACTGATGGAGCTGCTTTGATTCTCAGCCAAAGCTGTGGCTTTTGTTCCAATTCCAATTTTTATTTGCATATGCTTTTGTAGTTCAATATTCCATAGAGATAAAGGTGAGATTCTTAACTTTCTAAAGTGCTCAGTCTTTATATATGAAATTGCTTATATGTTTGTATGATCAGGCAGTTATTTTGTCTATTCATAATGAACATGTTCTTAGCAATACTATAGCCAGGAGTGTCCGTACTCCTTAATGCAACCACACTTGGTTGTGGCTTCTCAAGATCTTAAAAACCTTCCTCCCTACCACCTCCTCACTATGCTGAGCTCCCACCTTCTGGAACAAGCTAACTGGGAAAAAAACCCTAAATTTAATTTCCCCTTTTACACACATTACTCTCTAGCAGGCTTACCACAGCACTTTTCTTGAATCACCTTTAGCCAACAGTAAAGTTGAACATGCACTGCAAAGTCTCATTGCTTATACTCATTATTCAGGATATACATCTAGAATTTGTCAAAAGCCAAAACTTATCAATGACCAGCCCCAGCACTACAATTTTACATTGTGCACTCCACCTCCTGTCATACCTTCTTCACCTGCCTCCTTCTCATATTCTTCTCTTCAGTTTTCTGCTAACATAGCACATAACATAATTCTCTTCCTTCCTTACAGGCATCTCATCTCCTTGGATATTCACACACTTAACTTTGAAGCTATAGCAACATTTACAATAAGAAGACTCGATCTACTATATATATGAAAAGCAAGGGTTCCTATAATCTAGGGAAGAAGAAAATGCAAAGGTAAGAAATTCACTGTCACACCAGATTTTGCAGACTATTGTCAGAGACCACACCCAGATTTTATTTCTCTCTTACAGCCTCTTCTACTTCACTTGCACTCAATAAATCAGAAGATCCCACTTATTATTTAATTTTTTCTGTGCAGAGATGAGTGTTTTATACAAATTCTTGCTATTTCTTTCACTCCATTCCACTTCAGAACCTGCAATAGAGTTAGAAGTCTGCCCATTCTATTTTCCTACCACTCCCTTCTGCTCAGTGCCATGTAAAGTTTTTCTGGGGAAAGTCCACTATTTTAATACTACATAATTACAGATGATATGCAAAATTATGTATTTTGGGCAAAATTGTTAAATTGTGACTACCCAAATATTTCATTCTCTAGGACAAGAAAATCAATTTTTCATGGTACCAAGCATGTGCACATCCCACTAATATACATGGACATTTAACAGCAATTTTAGACAAACTTCAAGTATCAATGGGCACTTGTGACCATACTGCTTTTAAAATATATTATGAAGCAATGTTGCACTGCGTGCCAAATTACCCTTCCACTAGGTATACTTGGATGTTGTATTTTTAAAATAACATGAGAGATTAATTTAGAAACCATATGCATAAAGTGTGCTTCTAAAAAAATTACAATAATCCTCGATTTTCTAATAAGCCTACAACTCTTAACTTCTTGCAGCTTGACACTTAATCACTCTGTACAAAAGAAGAAAATATAATAGGAGTACTGCAGAGACAACAGATCTCTTGACCCAATGCCACAAGGCCAAGAGCACAGAGGGAAGAAACCATCCTTCAAGAAAGAACTTATTTATTTACTTTGGTTCTTTCTGTCCTAGTCCATCTCCTTTCTAAACTGAATTGATACCTTCAAAGAGAGTTACTTTTGAAACCGAAGAATCTTCAATAGATTCAGAGGTTTTGTTATCTTATAATTTTTTTTCTTTTGTTGTTCTGAAAAGAACAAACCCTTATAGTCTGAAATTACACTGACAGGGATATTCAGAGAGAAGCGCTGTAGTGTTCCAGAGGGCTCTCACCATATATTCACACAAGGCTTCCCACCCCTGCTGTTTCACTGTTGCCCCAAACCCATTGTTTAGGGAAGAAGCTGCAAATGCTTCTTTTCCGGTACAAAATCCCTGTTGTTTTCTTTGGATCATCTCCTGCTTACTTTTGTGTCCTCCTCTCCTTCTATAGAAGCTGTTTCCACTAACCTTGCTGCTGCATAGGCTGATCAGACTGTCAGCAATAAAACCCCATCAAATAAAAGCAATATAAGGAATCATTTTGGCTGAGTATCAGAGAAATGTGATTTGGTACATTGTGTCAACATGCAAGTTGTGTGAAGCTCACATTTGGAAGATCTAAGGGTGCAAGGTTAGGATGGCTGAGGTAAGAATTGGCCAGTAATGTTCCCTGTGGCACATCTGATCAACAATGTGGTATCATGTTGTGAATATGTGTGGCATGAAGTCTGACATTTAATACAAGTATCAACTATTTTGTTGATGATCCTAAGCACAGGGAGTCTCTCATATCTGGCTTACTGTATTGCTTTCAGAAAATAAGTTATCTTATCTGGACAAGATAGCTCTGAATCCCACACACCTTAATCCTGTGTATCCTAATGTTACAAACTGATAAGTTAACAAGTGGAGTCTGCCAAGAGCTGTCAGACCTGTCTGGCCCATTCCATCTACGGTTACATTTTGTTTTCCCCAATAACTACTCTGGCACAAACACTCATAAAAAATGAGGTAGTTTAAATTCTTTGATTGCCCACATTGCTTTTTGGTAGCACACTATTACTACTATCTCTTGCAACCTTTTGCTATCTCTTCTGCAGGCATTTCTACAGGGAAAATTAGTCAGAAAGTAACATTAGTGAATGTTTTAATATTCCATTTCATTTCACTGTACTCTTTTTTCTAAGAGCTTTTCTGTGACTCACTCCTGTTTGCAGTCACTAACTTGTTTTATACAAAAGACCTGTTCCTTCATCTAGTAAAAATTTGATAGTTCATCAACTTTGTTTAGGGTCAGGGCCTCAGGAGTGCTGGTTAGACTGCAAAAAGTTTGAAAAGGTTCCCAATAGTCTTTCTAGTAATGCAGCTTCTGAGGGTAAGAACCAACTTGCCAATTTTGCTCTGAGTCCATGGCATCTTCACCCAAATCACAGGAAAAATCCTATTCCAAGACTGATGTTAATAAAGTACGTAGAATGCCTTGGCTGAGTACTTAGATGATCAGCTTTTGTCTGGACTGTTTGTTTTTCATATATCTTATAACATTTTATCCAGTATAGATATTTTCTCTACAAAATAAGGATTTTGAACATATCATTAATATTGATTATATCTTTTCATTGACACTTCATAGATGTGAATGTGTTGTTATTAAAGAGACTATTGCATTGTACATGCAACTTAACAGATAAGGAATTCAAAATTTAATAGATATTGAAATTAGACATACTGAAACATGCTGATAGATAAAAAAACAAGTTCCAGCATTTCTGCTATTACAGAATGGGATGGTGGCTGTATTAACATCAGAGTCTTTTGAGTCTGTTCCACTGCCTCTCAGGAAACAATGAGACATCAAAATTGAGCAGAAGGAATGGTGCCATTTTCTGGGTCTCCTTTTGTTATAATGGCATAAATCCCTTAAAAATGTAAGTACATACATGCACATGGGCTAAACTGCAGAAATTACTTCATTTTATGTATAGACTTGAACTTTAGTACCAGACTTTCAGTCCAAACTAAACCATAGGGGAAATCCAACCCAGGCTCACCACAGGTTTTGATGGAAAGTGTATTCTGATGTGATATTATTTGAGAACCTGACACAAAGATCAGATACATAATCTGTTTGGGTGACATTTATATATTTGGCCTGAATGACTTCTGGCAGCAGAAATCCCAGCAGCTGGTGAGATCTGTAGCACAGTTTTGGTCTTTAATGACCCCAGATGCCACTTTCCCAAA